TTCTTGCCCATAAGTAGCGCTTCGTCTGGTAAACGTAAGCAGTATTAACACTGTATTATCAATTCAGAAACACCATCCCACATAACCTCTTTTTGTTGTAAGCTCTGAAATTTTTATATTAATTAATTATAACGTAGAGTGAAAAATCCCATGATCCTAAACTCAATGTTTATAAATACTTCTTTTGCCAGTTTCCTAACCCAAATTTTGAATGTAGGTAACGTTAACCAGTGTAATTCCTACTTATGGTACGGTTTTTTGCTGGATACATTTTATCTGTATTAATAACCAACAAAGCCAATAAAAGGAATAAGTTATACTGCTAAAAAATAGATACATTAATACATTCCAATAAGTACTCCAGTTTAAATTTCCCGCTTTGTAAGAATAGTATACCGTAGCCATCTTAGTGGATACACGTTGAACTACACTGAGCACAGATTTCTTTTCTATAATTGTTTTACGAGTTATTTTTCAAGTGTACGGAGTTCATACCGTTTGTGCTTTAGAAACCACATATTATCCATTTTTACATCACGTTTTATTCCTTATATGTTCAAGAATCTGGAGAAACAATTTATATTTCAAAAACTTCTTTGACCTTTGAATTATACACAAAAGATTGCCATTGCAATCGAACGTCTACTTTATACACTTTCAGAGAATGTGCTATGAGTTTTAGTGCAATATAAACTGTTCACTCATAATTTACATACATTTAAGAACAAGAAACAACAAACATTTCCCAAAAAAAAGTATAGTTTTTAAAAACGGTATGAATTCCGTTAGGCATGTTTCCCATAAGAAAGCTATTGTGAGATAGGCAACACACAATACTGATAGCGCGCCCTTAACGAATATTATTCCACTACTATAGCTATTCCAGTCAGGAGATCACAGTTAAAAAAAGGGCTTTTTTTCTCAATTTGAAGAATAAATACTGTTTTTCTCCAACCACCTGAATAAGATGCTATTTTGTGACAGTGTTCGGTACCTAAAATTGACGTTTTGCGGATTAATCGCTTTCACCATGGCAACTGTACAAAAAGTGGATACTTTTGGTCCTAGTACCAAAAAGAAATTGACCTTGAAGGTGGGCCAATTAAAAAATTACAATCACGGAGATATGTCCCATTGACATCGTTTTACATTGCAGGTTGTAAGATATTTCTATACATACAAATCAAATATTTTTGCATATTCAATGCAAATAATGATGTTACCTATACGTATGTACATGTATTGAAAATGATTTACGCTCGCTATTTTTATTTAAACCATGTGTAACGTAATTTACATATTCCGTGAACGTAATTTTAATACGTATACAACCCGCCGTCGCGCGTAACGCCATCTACTTCAGACCCATTGCACTATTATCTGTCATTTTGAAATCAAAATTTGAAAAAGTTAATTGCAATTAATTTTAATTAAAGAACTGTATGGTAAGTTTTTTATTTCAATGCAAAATATAACAATATTTATTGTGTATACAATAAAATGACTGAAACTGATAGCGACATGGATTGCACTCCGCCAGAGATTATAGAAACGGCAGAACATGCTACCTCAAGATTTGCTCCCAACAAAGTCGCGAGAGGTGAGAAGTAAGAAGTAAGAACGAATAGGTTATAAGTTAACCTAAAAACTAGAGTGGCATGACACGTGAGGACAAGAAAGCAGAAGTTCTTATACTAGTAGTGAAACTGTGACTGAATCTAAATTCGAATATAATTTGAAGTAAAGGGGGCTGGAGAAAAAATTTTATGTTTTATTCGTACAAAATATGCGTTTTCGAGACTCGGAAGGTTGCTGGACTCCGCTAACGCGTCGTCCAGCAACTATCTTCCTCGTCCCGAAAACTGACATTTTTTGTACTAATGAAACAAATAACTATTTCTTTTACTGTGTATACTTCTCAAAGAAATGCGTTTTTTCCGTATACCGTGCTTAGGGTAGCAAAAATATTCTGCATCAACTTGTTCTAAACGATCAAACCCGAATGTTGACCATAGTGGGTTGCCCATGGCATACAAGAGGGATTATTTGTTAATATGCTAGATTGAAATGTGCATCACGTGGATTGAGTAAATTTATTTTATCTTGACAAAAAACAGCCCCTAGATGTGTAATAGAATATATTAAAATGCTTGGTTATAATTGACTGAAATTTTATGATAGGTCATGTTCATTTTTCCTTTGCGGAAATAATGAGCCACATTAGGATCGTATTTTCTGCTGAAAATGAAGTCATTATGCAGGGAGTATATAAAGATAATGGTAAACTAAGGTTTAACTGTAAAAAAAAAACAAATGTCGCAATTATATATGGCTCGGCTATGCGAAGAAGGTTCAGTCATGTGGATACTGAATGTAACAGTAACTATTCACCGACAATTAACCTTTTAAGTCTGTAAAGCAAGTCTATCTGACTCAAAACATAAAGAGAGAGAGAGAGAGAGAGAGAGAGAGAGAGAGAGAGAGAGAGAGAGATCTTGAATTATTAAATTTTTCTTTCTATCAATAGGTGCGCCATTTACTTGTCACTTTTTCCTAATTTTGAATCGAATTATGACAACAATAGTATATTGTTTACCAAGGACGAGAATTGAGTCGGAAATTCCGACGTGTCAGCGGATCTCACTCGTCCGTGGTACACTAAACTTTTTTTTATTAGTATGCTGGAATTTCTTGTATATAAACGGCTAGTCAACACAGGTATAGAAATCAAAAGAGGCAGAGAAGTGGAAAGGAGGCAGAGAAGCAAAATTTCTCTGCCTGTTATTCGCGTCTCTGTCCCTAGCAACGAAACGATACTTCGCTGTTTGAATATGATCAGCGAAATGTCACATATAATAGTACATTATACATCAAGGGAGAGAAATGCATTATTTTTCCCGCGGTGCGATTTGTAGCCAGAGGGCGAAGCGAAGCGGAGCCCGAGGGCTACAAAGCACCAAGGGAAAATGGCATTTCGCTCCAGAGGGTATATACTATTTTTTGCATTCGCGTCGACGTTTACCTATACTCTTTAAATGAATTGATGGTTCTTTGAAGATTATAACCACATATTAATCAGGTTAGTGGAGAATTAAGTATAACCGTGGCAACCAATAAATTAAAATGTAATCATGTTAGTCGAGAATTCAGATAAACCATGGCAACAGATAAACAAACAATGTTTGCTGTTGAAAAAGTGCGTGAATTAAAATGGAAGTTGCGGGTTGTTCTGAAGAACCTTATGAAATTACAAACGCCGCTAACGCTGCTGTTGTGAATTTACTACCTGATAAGTCGAAAAAGTTGTATGAAGCAGCATATAAAGGTTTTAAAGACTGGTGCATAGAAAAAGATGTCGCGACCGTCACCGACAATGTTATGTTGGTTTACTTTAGCGAAAAAGCCAAAAAGTACAAATGTTCAACGGTATGGGCACAATATTCCATGGTGAGGTCTTGTATGCTCATTTACGACAATGTTGACATCAACAAATTTCCAAAATTGATATCATTTTTAAAAAGGAATTCTGATGGATATTCTCCGAAAAAATCGAAAATATTTAATAGAGAAGAGGTGGAAAAATTCTTGCTTGAAGCTGACGATGATACCCATCTTATGCGAAAGGTAAAATTGCGTTTACTTAACGTATTAAACATTGCTAACCATTTCCTCTTTAGGTTGCGTTGATTTTTGGAATATCTGGCGCATGTCGCACTGACGAATTGGTCAATATGACACTGGATAACGTTGAAGATGTGGGGTCTTCTTTCATAATTACCCTGCCACATACAAAAAACAAAACATCCAGAACGTTCGTTATAGCGAGTAATGAAGGCGGTAAAGTGGATTTTCTTCAGATAATTCGCAAATACACGTCCCTTCGACCTGGAACTAACCATGGACGATTTTTTGTTTTCTACAAGAACGGAAAATGTACTCAGCCGGTTGGGAAAAACACGCTTGGCAAGGTGCCAAATATGATCGCCAATTACTTAAAATTACCAAACCCAGAACTCTATACGGGGCACTGCATGAGGCGTTCCTCCACCACTCTATTGGCGGATGCTGGAGCTGACATCACCACTATAAAACGGCATGGTGGGTGGAAGTCCACCACAGTCGCGGAAAGCTACATTGAGAACTCTGTGGCCAACAAAACGAAGATTGCAAATCAGATTATTCAAGGTAGCACTACCTCAAATGTCAATATAACATCGGGAGCCAGTTCTGATTCGAATCAATTGATTAATAAAATTCCAGCGGTAAATTTTACAAAATGTGAAAATATAACGTTTAATTTAAATATAAACAATGTACCTTTTTAAGTTTGAGTTAATATAACCTATATAAATATCAGGGAGTTTTCATTATCATTATTTCTCAAGGGACTGAAATGCAATTTCTGTCCCTGTTTTGTGATCATAGAAACGGATTTTTACCCTCGCGAGTGCAAAAAAAAAATTAATTTTCACGGACATGTAACATAGAAATAATGTGATAATAGTATATTGAAAGACAAGTGTTACAATGCGTATTGTAATACGACTATCTTGTGGCACGAGTGGCGACGCGAAGCGTAGCCACGAGTGTCCGCAAGATAGGAGTATTACAATAAAGCATTGTAACACGCGTTTTTCATACTATTTTTTCTATTTCGGTGCTTTAATTTAATTAAAAAAATCATTATCAGAAACTATAGGGAACATTAGAACTAACATGTTTTATGTTGGGAACACTTTTTATGCCGTTAAGTTTTAGGTTGGCAGTGTAGTAAGACTGACATTTTGAAGTTCAAACATGGAAGTACCCAACGAAGTACCTACTTGTACTAACTAGTAACTGCCAACTTAAGAGATGAGTTACCAAAAAAAAACGACTATAATCACTGTCTTTGTACAACTGTTTTCGGCCGAAAACAGTTGTACAAAATCATCATTGTGACACCGAAATAGAAAAAAGTAATTGCGGTTCCTGTATTAATTACAATGTTTTCATTTCAGTTTCACCGTACGTTCAGTTATGGCACCAGTGAGTCAGTTACTGGTCTACTATGTAACGCCACAAGGGGAGCCTGTCAGTGATGTTATAAGCTTTGACGTTAAACTGCTGAACAGACAGGTAAACTATGTCGCTAAATCGGAATCACATAATTCTCCTTGTTTCTATCATATACAGGATGAGTTTTTTCGTTGTCTGCTATAGAGATATAGAAGGTTGAATGAGAAAAGTATTGCAGTCTTAGGAATGTATGTAGAATGCCCTTTTTGATTTTCACAAACAATGCCTGGCTAGAGCAAGAAGTTGTAGAAAATTATAAGATTTAACCTTTCGCCGCTCGTATGCTACAACCTATACGTTTTCACCTGGCTGGAGGGACCAAAAAAATAAACTATCATTTTATCGAAATTGTATCTATGTCCACAATCGTGTAATAGTAAAAAAAAGTCTTTGCAAATACCAAACAAGTGGAAAAACTGGCATCTGTTGCACTAATTTAGGGTTGAATACTGTGAAGAAAGTTTATAAATTATTTGCGAAAAAACTGCATTTATTTACCAAATCCACATACATAATGCAGGCTGATTCACGTAAACTAAGGGTTTAAGCTTGTGAATGAAGTTAAATTTGATAACAAATTTTTATCCGTGTGTGATAAAAATGACAGATATATATTTTATATGGGAGTTTTTTAAGAACTTCTTTCTTAAATAACGGCGAAAGTAAAGGAATTGGCTAAATAATTTTTGTTTCATGCAAATGTCGGAATATTATATATTTGAATGAATGTTATTTCAACCAAAAATTTAAACCCAGAAGGAAGTTATTGTGAAAACAATTTTCCACTTTTCCAATGTAAACGCCACCTTAAAGTATTCAGACTCCTATTAATAATTTAAATGTAGAAATTTGCATATCGACATAGTTTTTCATGATCTATCGAAATAAAATATTATCACGATCGTTTCACATCCGGTTTTACCGGAGGTTGATAGCAACTTTCTTATTTTAAATAGAATATTCGAAATCTGCATGAAAATCTACCTCGTTTGATTCCACATTTCCCTATACCTAGCATCACAGATTTTCAAGCTATTCAAGATTTTTCAAAATGACTAATAAATTTGAAACTAGGACTAAAACAAATCAAATTAGATTAAAAAAACTGAATTCTTGCTAATGGGTTCCTAGGTAATAATTTTTTACAACATAAATCAGGCTCTAATTAGCGAATTTAAAGATTGGTCCTTTTTAAGGCTCAATCATCTTCATTAACAAGAAGTAATTTACATAGATTAGCAAGTGTCTGAAATTGTTTCAGTATTAAGCTAATATTATATTTTGTTATCGCCGCTAGGCTGGCGCGAAGACTTTCGAAAACCATTACACGGTCACTAAGCATATAGAAGTCAATGACGCATACAAAAAACGATCTCCAATATTTTCAAGAACCTACGAACTTTTAAAAATGTTGCCTTACTAACACTTTGAAATGATCCTTTTGGTCCGCCTTATAATTGAAGAATTCAAAACTCATTACACGCCATACATAAAATTGAGCAACCCTAGCGAAATGCATTTTTATCGAAATAAAACCGTTTTGCAAAGCTGTTTATCCTCAAAGAAATTCAACGTTCAAAATCAATTTTTGAAATTACGAACCATGCCTTATGTGAAGGAGGATAAACCGTGCAGTTCAGTATTGTACAAAAAACCTATGAACGCTCTCAGTAGGTTTGTCCTTAGAAGTATTTTCCGAAGAAGTTGCTGAGGTAGACTTATCCACGCATTTAGTCTTAGCAAGTTTGCGACATTCTTCTATAACATGCCCCGTATATTTACAGTACAACCAGCACAATTTCCTAACTGTACTAGATTTCTCGTTAGTATTTGTAGTTTCGACCGAAACCTATTAGAATGTTCCGCAACTAATCGAGGTTGATTTAAAAGTTCGCTAAAAGTCGTAACTTTATCTCGCGGTACCTATTTTTCGCGTATTCTACGATTAAGGAGACCGTATATCATGTTCAGCTGAGTAGCTTCGGATGTAGTACCCGGTGGAATCTGGGATAAAACATGAACTAGCTTTAGAGTCTTGTTCAGTTGCGAATAACTTTCGATAAATACGATAAGGCGGTTTAATTGGACCGAATGTTGATTTTAAAAGATCGATCGCTTCTTTCCAATCGTCAAAGTAGACTGCCAACTGCCAAGTCGCGGCGAACCCATGGAATACCATAGGCAACCCTTTAAAAGCATTATCGTCCTTTATACTGGTACAATCTTTGTAAACCTCGATAGTATACCTATGAATAGAATTCCAAAAATAAGAAAAATCGGAGGATAAAGACAGCTTCCTATCACATAAAAATCAACTTATATTAAGCCTTGTTTCACAAACGATGATTTCCATTCTAATATTGTAGTCAATGATTACCCTTAGTCATCGTTACACCGAGCATTAATATTCTAAGCTAATGGAATATTAAAACAACTGAAATGCAAAAGCCCGAAGAACTTTTTTCCATATTTCTATTGGCATCACTGCATTTACTACAGTGGCTGTAACAACCCTAAACTGACCAGGTTCTAGTACTCGTTTTCACGCCCACAAAAGTCTGTTATCTCTGCAAATATACGGTTGAGATCCGAAAATCTCGTATTAGCTTCAGAGTGTAAGCTTTTTAAAATGAGCGGTTGAGATTTTATTCCCACAATGGATAGGAAAGAGGAATGGCTCAAGCTGTAGGTATCGACTGCGTTAAGATTCAATTAATCAACTGGATTTCAGAAACAGACCATCCCACCTAAAATATCTCAAAATGTTTTATTTATTTTTCCCAAACGAAAAAAAAAGCGGCGTTGCTCGCACTTTACACAAATCATTCGTTTTGGGTGAAGCAAAGGTTGCATTGTGCCTTTTAATACGACCGAATCTCTCAATCCGTATAAAGAAAATGTTTGTTTTCCGGATGCACTATTTCACAGTGATCAATACTCATAAAAAGTTTATTGAAAGGAAAGAGCTGTCCATCTGCGAAGTCAATAACATCCCTTATTTCTTTGTTTGTGCTCGACTTTCATATTCAGTTGTAATATACATTATATTGACAAATTATGCAGTACGATTTCGAGCTTCCCACTCAAAACATCTACTTGGAAATTCTCCTTACGATTTGAATCTAAAAGTTTCGCAATTTACTTCAAGAGAATTTCTAAAAAGCTTACAAAGCTAATTCAGTTAACGATGTAGTAATAAATTTTAAGAAAGTGTGGTAAAGAGATACACAATTCTTGGTTCTGGAACTAAATAAAGCAGATTCCATAAATTTGTTGTACAATAGACCTTACAACTACATGGTTTTCTTCACTTATACAAGTTTAAAACTTTTTAAGGTTTACGTCAACTTGGAAGAAAGAGAATGGTGGCTACCCGGACAAAGTTTAGATTTAGAAGTTGTTGCCGAACCTTCATCTTTAGTTTGCCTTTTAGGAGGGCGCTTTCGAGGGAGTAACGATATAAAATTTGATCCTCGAATAAGGTTAGTTATTCTCACTTTATCTTAAATTTGATATAAATTTATTTTCTTTGAAATTTATTTACTCAGCGAGGACAGAACTCCGGCGACGGAAACCGGAGAAATCGACTTTCTCGAAGCCGGCGTTGTATTTTTTCAACGACGCTGCACCAAGAAAGGCGATTCTGGAGTTTCGACGGTTTCGTATAGACAAAGAGGATCGGGTGCGGGTCCGTCAAATAGAAGACGTCCACCGGAGAGCCTTGTAGGGGGAGCACCGTTTGACCAACTATGGTTATGGAAATGCTTCAATTACACGTACGTATTCTCTATTAATTAAGACTAATTTACAAAAACTTCTGATAAGTTTTTCCGAATTATGCATACGACTTAACAATTTACCCCGTAATGAACATGTATATTCGAAAGCGTATCCGCAAAGTGTTTATTAACATTTCGATGACTAAAATACACAGTTAAAAGTCTAAGAAAGTGTTTATTAACATAAGAAAGTGTTTATTAACATAAACACTTCGATGACTAAAATACACAGTTAAAAGTCTAAGATAACGATACATGTTTAACTGAAGGAATGGATTGAGAAGACTGTGTTTATGAGGGTGATGATGGTCGGTGCTGTGTAGGTAAATAGTTGGTTTAATTTCACCCTCGAATTATTGCCTATTTGTGGCAATAATTCTTCCATTTTAGTGGTTAAACGCCGATTTTTGCAATAAAAATGTAATTGGAAAACTATGTACAATATACTCGTATAACAATACGCTTACAACTCCGTTATTCATCGTGAACACCGTTGCTTATTTAAACTTCAGCTTCTTGATAGTGCCACAAATGAAAAACAAATTTAAAAAAGTCATTATACAAAATAAATGACAAGAGCGTATTTTCCTCGTAATAATATTAATGCTAGGACCGGGAAAAAATACCGGTAGGCAAGAGATCCTTACCCCATTCTCTTTCAAATGAGCCGCCTATCGTCGAAGTCTATATTTAATGAAAAATAGTGGAGCGTATACAAATACAAACAAAGTTTGAAATGGGCATTAGTTTTACTTTTATTCGAAGTGTCTACATATGGAGCTTTTAATAAATGCTTTCGTAAATAGCATTGCACATTGTCTACATTAGAAATTTCATTGAATACCTTCATAAATAAAACATACAGCATGTGTAAACAGTAATTTTGAAACCGGTATTAGTTTGATTCAAAGTGCCTACATAGGATATTTGATTTAACTGCTTTCATGCGCAATACCAAAATTTAAAACTGGGGTTAGATTTGCTTGACCAAAAAATATCGGTATGCACGGAATCCTTGGGCCAAGCCCTTTCAAATGAGCCCTATATCGCCCAAATCGGTTCAGTGGTGTAGAAGGAGTACGTGTGACGGACGGACGGACGGACGACAAAGTGCAGCGCTAGGTGCAGCCAATAGCGATTTTTCACTTTGAGGAACATACGCTAAAAATAACATGTTTATGTCCAATAAAAAGAGCGTCACGTTAAAAGGTTTGTCAAGGAGGAAACTACACAACAAACAAAAAACTACTTCACCCCCTTTCACCCTCCACCCCCAGGGTTATTCCCTTTTAAATGACATGGTATCGCATAATAGCTTGTTTGAAAGGTCTTTCGAAGTCCCTTATTTTGACGTTTGATTTTTTAAATTCGGTCGATTCGTTTTCCAGAAAATTAGAAAAATCTTTATCTTAGATAAAATCTGAATCAATTGAATCATTTGAATATCGCAAGATTGTCACAAAAGTAACTGACAGCAAATTAAATTCATTAAATGTTCGTTTGTTTTTGTTTTCTATCTGAACAAATTAAGATAGGTCGATTAAATAAATTAAATAAAGATTTTTCTAATTTTCTCGAAAACGAATCGACCGATTTTTAAAAATTAAAATAAAGGACTTCGAAAGACTTTTCAAACAAGCTATTACTCGATACCACTTGTCATTTAAAATTTTTAAGGGAATGACCCTGGGGGGGAGGGTGAAACGAGGTGAAGTAGTTTTTTTTTAAGTTGTCCCCAAATCGGGAAAATTCGGTTCCATTACAAGTTCTCCTGAAAACTTAGGAATTGGAAGGTTAAACTTGGCTTCCGTATAGGTGCTGCTGTTTGTTGGCTCGCTAATTTTGTGACTAGTAGGTAACACTAGGCTATGGAGAGCGAACTGGAGTACATGTCCTCGAACTGGGATTGATGATCGTCTTCTCCTTCCTGATCATCAGTTGAATCTAAAATTTTTGATTGAACGTTATTAAATTCGACCACGAAGTACTGGCATTTAATCGTCTTTGAATTTCAAGAATTTTTGCTTGAGACACAAGGCTAGTTACCGTTAAATTTTGAGAGGAATGTCTCAAATCTAATAATGGATTATTAAACGGAATTGGCCCTATAAAATTAAAAAGTGAAAACCAAACAAGAGAACGTACAAAACGAAATAGCGATAATTAAATTATAAATGTAAATGCACACCAATTGAGGCATTCCAGCGTTGCGCTATCGAAACGAACAAATTAAAAAATTTAGCTTATATTATTGATGTGATCCAAAGATTTTTTAACTAAGAACAAATGACTGACAAAAATTCGACAATGTACAGACTGTGCTTGTCAAAAAATGTACCTTTAACAAGAGTGATTCAACATTAATCTGCAAATCATTACGAAAGGTAGAAACCAGGGTAGAAACTAAGTTTATAGAGGAATAGAATGTATTAAATGGATACTGGTGGAAATTGATCAACATTCAACTTACTCCAACCCTGTTTTATGTTCGAATATCCATTTCTTAGTTTCATTTTTACGTATTACAGACGTTTTGTTCTATTGTAACCGTTTTACTTAAAACAGTGAATAAATTTTTTATTCAACACTTAAAACCATAGTAATATAAAGTCATTCCTAAGCAGTACTTTCACATTTTTCCAACGATTGAATTACTCCATTCATCCAAAAAATATCGTACAGTTTATCCTTTTGCTTTCTTTAGTAATTATCTTCAACAAAATGCCAGCCTCTTATAATTCGCGCCCTACAAGATACAAGGACATGACTAATCTTCTAATGGCTGTTATGAATGTTGTGACCTAGATTAAAACATTGGTATAAAAAGCGTGAAAAGGAAGGTCTAAATTACAACTGCCATAAGACGCAGTCCTCTAATTTCGGTACAAATTAATGAACCAACTTCTCTTAGCACACGTTTACCCGTTTTACTTATGTAACTTTCTATACGTAAACGTAAGACAAATATACCCCATTGTTTGTTAATTCAATAGGAAAGTTGCAAAAGTTCACCTTCGTTTCATGTAACTAGTAAAAAGTTGTTTGTTTCCAAAATTTGTCTGTATCTAATAAATCAAGCTCGAATGTGGTTTTTAATATTTACAACGTAACATTCAACAATCATTGTCCAAACTTTCTGCGTGCCACATAAAAATTCCTTACAATGTAACAACATACACAATAGATGCTGCTGTTTGTGGCTCTCAATTATAATTCGCGAATTCTGGGCAAATCTTCGCCTAACGAAGTGTAATATTAATCTTCTCATAAACGATCAGAATTGTTAATTACCTACTGGAAAGTTATTGTACCGGTAATTACTTTTGTTCGCTGCAAGGTTTCGCTTCGAAGCGCAACGTTTTGTTTCCGCAAATTGTTCCAATCTCCGTAAGAGTAAATTATGTCCGAAATGGAACATTTGGTATAATTTCGTTACTTTTTTACTTTTTTGCGGTACGTTTGTATGCGATTTAGAGGTTGAACTTACAAAAAAATGCCTTTAGTCTTGAAATGGATGTTATTAGAAACAATTACATGGATGCAAAATTGCTGAATATGCCAAATCAAAGATTTATCGAATTGTGAAAATGATTGTACGGACGACAATTAAGTGTACACCCCTTCGTAGGAGTTTGACCATAATTATCAACTGCACTGCACTGCACTGCACTGTGTCCAAGATAAGGAAGGATGTCTATGATACGGATCTCGGAAACCAGAGATGATACGGCGATGGTCGAATTAGGTAAAACATGTGCAGTTAAAGAGTTATTGCCATGCTATTCCAATTACTTTCGAAGATATGCCGAAAAATGTGAAATTTGATAAAACCGTATCAAGTGGCGAAATACTAACTAAAAACTGTCAATATTTACTATAATAAATTCCGTTCAATCGGCCTTATTGTTGTAAACGTAACTATAACGGCGAATTGATTAGTGTAAGTGCTTACTGAGGGTTTTTTAAGAATAATAAATAGTAACAAAGTTCGGGAAACATATTTACGTACGAAGTATTATTATATAATATCCAGGTGTACCTATAGAAGTTAAGAAAATTAACCCATTCCATGAACGAGGAAATCATCAGCATGGAAACAAATATACATTCACTTTGCTAGTAAACCGTACGGGGAGGGTGTAAGACCACTTGCTTTGACTTCTTGCTGCTCCAAGCTGTTTGAGCTAATGTTGTGGTATAGACTTCGCTGGTGGTTGGAGCACAATAATCTTCTCCCCGCCACTCAGTCATGGTTCAGAAAGGGGCGATCTTGTGCTGACAATTTGGCCATATTGACTCTTGAGGCGGACGATGCGATTTGATCACATGAACAGCTACTAGTTGCTTTCTTAGATGTTTCGGGCGCGTTTAACGATGTCCTTCCTGACATTTTAGTAGGGAAACTGGTGAACATGGGTTGCCCAAGCAAACCCCTCAAATTTATAAAGTTCATGATCTATGAAAGGTTTATTTACACTTGCTCCTCCGTTGACGGCCCCAAAACCACTCACAAAGGTGTCTCACAGGGAGGAGTTCTGAGTACATTACTAGGTATACAATTCGTATGTCACGAAAATTGAACATAACATTCCCTCCAATACTAATATACTACAATTCGCTGATGACATTCGTACTAAAAATGTTAATAAAGATGTGCGAATCCTCGATCAATCAGTGAACACCATCAATGAAAACTTGAATCTTATTGGTCTTTCTCTCTCTCCTAAAAAAACAGTTTTTCTACGATTAAGAGGAATGGACAAGAGATAACTGAGTCGGATTCAGCCAAATTTCTGGGTATCAATTTCGATACACATCTCAACTTCCACAAGCATATTAATTCATATTAATTATATAAGTACGAACCAGTGCAAGACTCTAGAGAGAGGATTTCCACTCGAGGGCATCGAGAATGGGATTGCTCTCGCCAGAAACAATTGCTCACACTCTTTATAAGTCTTATAATACGTGCGAAATAGATTGAAACAAATTTTTTAAAACCAGTTATAACTGTTCGTATACCTCTACTATAACTTTAAAATACGATATTTCAGCAAAATAAATCATATTATTGCAAATTTATGCAATTTAAATTGTAGATTTTTATTCTAGCGCCAAAACGCTGTTTTGTGTCATGGCGGTGTCTGTGACGTCACAGTCCTGACAATTATAAACACATAACCCCAGCGTTTAGTTTAAAAGATTTCGTGATGAATTATAACTACCGTAAGTGGTGCCCTACCATGGAGTACACTTTGTCGTGGTGTAGGGCTCAGTAGTCACATTTTTCTGTAGCACAGCTAAGTATCCCAGGCGGGCAAATCTGGTTCCAAGGATGCTGTATCATTCAAATGCTTCATGGAGTAGAGAAATCCAAAAGGGTTTTCGACGATTGCTCATTAAACGTAACATAGAAAACTATATTGACATGAGTAGCACATTTTTCACGTACGTTAACTCCTGAGGCCTGCGGTAGACGACAATTTGGACAACTTCCGAATACGATTGAGCCATTTGGTGATAGAGTTTCGAATAATTGGAGTAGATCATGACTTGTTAAACGTGATAAAAGAGACTTTATCGACACTAGTAGGTACTCCTTTGGACTCTGAGGGGTTATAAAAGCAGCTTGATGGTAGGGCAAAGAAAATAATTGGTTTCTTCGTCGACAACTATGGAAACTGCATACAGCTTTGCGTGAACTGTATGTTGCGGCCAAAATTTGGTTTAACAGAGTCTTCTGTTCGACTGCACTCAATGTGTGGTTCCATAAGAGTGCCCACCATAAAAACTGTTTTTCCAAAAAAAATTGTTTTAAGAACTATACTTTATAAATTAGACCTTTATCTACAAAATGTTCGTAACAGAAAACTCTTAAAGTGGACATAGCTTACTGATCATCTCCATATGATAGCTTCGATGACCTACAAGCAAAGCACCTTAAGTACACATTCCTCTTAAGTAACTACATGTCTTGTAAAAAATCTAAGCTTAACTTAAAAACCTACAAGGCAGTTTTCTGATGAACAAAAATCTGTGTTTGATGCAAGAAATATTCCCAACATCATTTCATCACTGTTTGGCAGATTTGCTGCTATCAGCAGTCGTATACCCACTTTCCATTTTTATCTGGTTTTAAAAACTAAACATTAGGATAATATAATCACTATAAAATGGAACAAGCACTAAATTAAAAAACGTAGACAAACTCTACAAACGAACAGAGGATTAGGATAATGACGCCACGCGCTCTGATTGGCGTTTGATATCACGTGACAAATGTGGTTAGTTTTTAATTTTAGCTTTACTAATATATAATAGTTTCTCGTGTACATTACCAAAGAAAGTTATTTTGCGATACCCTGACACCTTACCCTATCTTATGAAACAAACATTTATTTATTATTTTTCCACTGTCATGTACCCTATTAGATCTTTTTGCAGCAATCAGGAAAAATATAATGGCGGAATATAATTTCTACATAGAAAACTTAGGGAAAATCAAGGGAGTGCAGTATTTTGAGCTATGTCATTCCAGGAGGGAAGTGCCATGGTTTCAGGGCCTTAACATTCCTAGAAAATTAATTACCTTTATAAATCGATGCCGCTCTGGCCATTACAATCTCAAAAAATCACTATTTAAAATAAAAATTGTGAATAGCCCTAACTGTGAGTGCGGCTACATGGAAGAGGACCTGAATCATGTCTTGTGGCAATGTCCTAGATTTGATGAACAGCGAGAACAACTTATTAAACTTCTTCGAGCACATGATAAAAAAATCACCTTCCCCCTCCATATAAATTCATTTATAGGTAAACCGAACGTCTTAATAATGTCATACATCCTGAAATTCATGTTAAGTTGTGATCTCAAAATAATTAATTCAAATTGTTCTAATAACCACAGCAAGCTGTATGGCCAGTTAGGCTGGATGCTTTAATAAAAAAAAAATAATAATTTCTTCGTAAAATATTGAACGCCCACAATGGCGGATTAACTTTCACAATGACGATGTCGAATTTTTCATTGGTTATAGTGTTTTTTTCGGGGGTAAATACACAAGAGCTTGATGTTTAATCGGATAATTTTATTTTTGCACGAAAGTTTTGTCGCAACGGAAAAAACTCATATCATATTTGCTGCGAAAGAATTTGCAGCAAAACTGGGCATTCGAAATTAGCACATTAGCTGGACTTGTTCGGAGTGACAGTTTCGATCTAAGCAACAGCAAGTTTGGAATTGTCTAAGCGTCTTTGACCAATAAAATCCGATGCGATAAAAATGCGTAAAATATATAGTGGTTGTAAAATTTACTGTATTTTATTAGTCTTCCTAAAATACACTCGATCTTGGTTTTAAGTCAGGATAATTTTATTTTTAATTCACTCAAATTTTGTTGCTTCCTGGAAAAAACTCTCAATCAAAAGCACATGATAAAATTGCTCCAGCTCACACTTTTGATCTCTAGTTTTTTCCGTTGCAACAAAATTTTCGTGTAAAAATAAAATTATCCGATTAAAAATCAAGCTCTTGTGTATTTACCTCCGATAAAATGTTGACGTTTGTAAATTAATCGTTGAAATATGGACAGCAACCATAGCAATTTTAAGTACTTTACTACATGAAGGCAATAATCAAAGATAATGTTTCAGATTCCAATCAATGATCTTGATCACCTTCAAGCACGAATTAAAGAGACAGGCAACGAAATCATTAACGTTATGTTGTAAAATGTTGATTATGCGCACATTTCAAGCATGAATCTTTCTAACCATTCTATATTGGGATTGTAGCTCAGTTCCTCATAACTAATTAATAAATGTCTGACAAGGGCAGTAATCTGAATTTGCAGGTATAATGCAGGGTGTTTCACCAACTCAATATAATATTATAAAGTCAGGAAAGCGGACATTTTCCCTATGAACTAGTGCGACGACAAATAATTTTTTCTGATGAAATAGAGGATGAAACGAAAACGGTACAATTGAGGAGAAATGTTCTGGTGTGCCTTTTGTGTCTTAATTTACAGGGTAGTGCATTGAACGTAGGGGGCTAGTTTAGTAAAGCACACATAACGTTTTCTAACTGTAACACAATTATTAAACCCGCACAATCTATTAAATGGTTTGGATCTGCAACAGCAATAAACCAAGCGTTTAATTACAGCGAAACTAAGTAATGTACGAGTTTAAGAAACATTTACATTTACTACATATAACAAACCGCAGTACGCAATAAATTTTCGGACGTATCTTCATGATGGTGATTCAAAGCTAACGGGTTCCAAACAATGCTGCCCAAGAAAGACAGTAAATTTTAAGTAATGTCTGTGAGAGATTTATATGCATGTGCAGCATAGAAGTACGCGGTCACATAAATTTAAATTCACACCATTTCCCGTTGTAATGGGACACGAATTGCAAATAGAAGGTTTAAAATGTAAGGGTAAATGCATTCGGAAAATGCATAAAATTTGAAGGAATTGTTTCATTTGCAGTAAATACCTCTTTTAGTGCACATCGCTTTTAAAATATACTGGTAGTTCATGCCGGATAACATCTCTTGCATAATTTCCTGCCGGTATTTACTATATGCAGTACCAGTGCAATAATCTTGCACAATCCAAATTTGAGAATTGAACGGTGGCAATTTAATTACGGTTATCGTAATCCAGATTTGTCTTTCTTTATTACCTATAGCACGGCATTTAACGAGCAGGTGCGTTTTTAACTTAAGGGAAAATTGAATTAAAAGTTAGGCGGTGCCGGTTTACAAAGAGGAGAGCATCGCTGAAATCCTAATTTACTGAAGCTAATGGGAATTTTTACATGAACATTTTTTTAAATAAAATTCTACTAATTTAAGATACTTTCTCTTCAAAGCAAACCATCAAAGATAGCAATTATCTACATGTAATAAGTAGAAGCCGATAGTCTTTCAAACGACCGAAATATATCAGCAACACGTAATATAAAACCTTTGTTACTAATTATAGAAGTTATTTTTCTATTGGTAGATACAATATGATGGCAATTTTTTTAATTAAGTGTATTGTTTCAGATCTGAAATTGCCTCAACTGGACTCACCATTCCAGCTCCTCAAGAAGCGGGAAAGTGGTCATTATGGGCATTGACGGTAGCTAGTGGAGGATTAAGATTTTCTTCATCTGTGAATGTACAAGTATTTCGACCACTACAAGCGGAATTCTATCTACCTCCAAGTTTACGTGTGGGAGAGACATTAGAAGTTGATATTAAAATTGCCAATAATCTCAACAGTTGCATGGATGTAAGTACCTATCCATGAAATGACATCATAGAGAAAGTCCATGAATGAGTAAAGTGAACAGTAAAAGTTTGGACTTTGTCGGAGTGCGAATGAACTTCCGCGTTGTTCCTCAAAGTACAAACAAGATAATTTAATTTTGCCTCTCGTTTGTTAGGACCGATTACGGAAACGCGTACTTTTATTCAGCCCGTTGATTACTTTTTTTTATAGAAAGGCAAGGTGTAATTTTCTCTAGGATTTTATCCATAACATTATTACGAAAGCGCAAAATAGATTATCAATCTATAACTTTGAAAGGCATCTAACGTATAAGTAATCTCCTGAGAACAAAATAACTTTCGGTTTGAGTTCCTTCCAGGCACGGAAACCGCGAGCTGAAGTAAATTTTATTTATTGCAATTACCTTTCTTTATCTCACCGAACCGATTGGTATTTTACTAGTTCTGAAATATCCAACTTGTAAGATGTGGAAAGTTACTTGTATCTTATAAAATAGTCTTGAGTGAATTATTCAATTGCAAAAGTTGGAGCATGTACGTGTGCAATACGAAAATGAGAAACCGCATTTTAGTACGTGGCTAGCATATTGTTCTAAAATATGTAGGAAATGACTGTTTTTATTTTCTTTTTGTTGTAGGTTACAGCCCTCCTGGCGTTGAGTGAAGGAGCCCAATTTTTAAGCAATGGCCTTTTATATGTCACAGAAAGGCTTCGGTTGGGTCCCCAAGGGGCGACCTCATTGGTCGTCCGTCTTCTCGTAACAACTTCAGGTGTTAAAAATATGACAGGTAAAATTTTATTCAGCATCAATATTTTTGTGTCGACACTAGTTTCTAGACGGGTACAGCTACGCTGTTTAACCGTTCGCGCACAAAATTTATATGACATTACAGGACAAGTATGCAATTGAAGTTGCTCCTTACATTAAATTCTTTCCTTCTAACGCTTTCTGAATCAATTCATAGCCCCACTTCACGCACTATCATGAAACACGACCCTCAACCTGTCTCCGTTATGATGAAGCAAGAGAAATATTTTCTTAAATCAACCGCATTAAAATAATATACGTAAGAGACTATGGGTGGTGTAATTACCATCGAAGGGTCATAGTATGGCGGTGAGCGAAACATAACAAGAACAGTAGGTATACTAATGAGTGCTTTAATTAAGGGATGCATTAGTTTATGAAGAATATCCTTGAATACACTTTGAACACAAAAAATAAGAGTGACCCCAGAAACTACATATTTATAACATTAGTAAGCGTCTGCACATATTAGTCCAATCAATTTAGCGCAATTTTGGACAAATAAAAACATTAATTGATAAAAATTTGAATTTTGGTATACACATTTATTGGGACTTTCTATTGAACATACTAAAAGTCCCTGTCAAAATCTGTTGCGCTCGAGCCGTCATCTTGGAAAAACGGTACACTTTTCCAGTTTTTTGCCCATATCTCGGCAACTATTACTGATACGTAGAAATAGTTTAGATGAAAAATATAGTTTACTAAATTCTCTATAAAAAAGAGGTTTTACATTTTTTACATCTCCAATACTTTTCTTTTACTTTTCTTGCTCACGTCCTATTTAAGGCGAAACCTTTCTTCCGAAAATAAAAATTACACCAGGCCACTACACTGTAGCGCAATGAGCGTTTTGCATCTTGGACTTCAACGCTTTCGTGGCAACAATTTGTTTAAATGAGAGCACCTTAATCGGATAATACTACGAATACGAAACAAACTTATTCACTTCCGCTTTAAGAGGTAATACTGCGCACCATTCACTGTTGTAATTTACATCAGCCGACCAGTCAACTCCGCTACGCTATTAAGTACCCCTTTTTTTTCGTAAACCCGCCACTTTTTAGTTTACTTGTAATGGCTACTCGTCATGAATATAAAAAGCACCCCCTACAATATCTTCTTCGAAATTGGTGGTACACATTTTCCGGTTGCGCTGCTAACGATTCTTTTTTATGAAGCAGTTAGTTCGTACTTTCAACTGAAAAAGAATCTTCACGCGATCGGAAAGAATGGCGCACACAACTCACATGGTTCGCCTTCAAAACTTGGCGAAGTGTTTCGTGTTACGAGATCTAAAAATCGCCGCCCTCGACCTGCATAGATTCGCCCCGAAAGTTTGGTTAAGAATGCCTTCCTCCCACTCCCAGGTACCTCCTACGACAATCTGTTCTTGAGATATAAAAAATTATATCCGATCACAATAAGGGGCTGAGGAGGAGGCTATGGCGGGTAGAAATGAATTCCATGAAAGATAAAACCAGTTCAACCCTCTCCCAACCCCATTTTTAGTAGTTGGTAGAAAACGGTTCCTTTTGTTGGTACCTTTAATTAGAATACCATGAAATATAAAATTAATTTCTATCCCCGTCCCCTGGTCACCCACTGATCTTGAACAAACCAATTCATTTCGATGAGATCTTTGATTAGAATAACATGAAGAGTAGAATGGCAGGGTAAAATTGGTAATTCAGCTGTATTTCACCATAAACGGAAAAAGGTATCAAATTTTCGCGTTTAATCAAGATGGTAAAAGTAAATTAAACTCATTTCCAGTATTGCCTAATTTATGGACGGCAAAACTGTAATTTGGCTAAGCTATAATAATGCGTATCATTACGATTCCGCATCACGAATTCGTCTAGGATTGTTAATAACAGCGACATCGTGCTCAAAGCTGAACTATACAGTTACTTTCGTCACCGCTCCAACGTCAAGGGTTTAATGGCCAATGGTTATCGAATGTTATTACTAGCTAAACAATTGGGCTGATGCCATTTAAATTTTTAGAACTGCGATTACGCCGCAAAGGAATGAGGAGGTAGAATTTTATTGCACCGTAACAGATTTCTCTTCTTCCAGGTGTATGAAAATTTACACATGTAATTTGAATTTCGTGCATTGTTATCCAAATAAGAATTTTCAGTAGTAATCTAGAAATTTATATCGAGAAATTGCGAGCAATTATGTCGCAATCTCATGACGAGCACGTCGAGGGTTAAGGATAGACAAACGAAGGGAAGGGACAACCTAAATATTTGATGTTGTATGCCGTACAACTTAATTTGAATATTTGCATACCTCTCACAATTCGCTGACATACTTACTTAATTAATTAATCAGTATAATTAATTGAGACATACACCAACGCAGATTAGGGTTAAATTATAAGGACTGGGATTTTGTAAATGTTGTCTCGTTGTCATTTACCTACTGTAAATATTCGATTTCTAACGGCTAGTCTTCTGATGAATTATTTTTGTTCATATTTTAGTTGAAGTGAATGGATACAGTAGTCCATCATGTGAGGGTACCCAAACTCCGATACCGAACGCTACCCTTGCAGGAGCTGTGATGCGTTCTTCCACCGTTATGGTTTATCCTGAGGGACTCGTGCGTACGGACACTGAAAGCGCGTATTTTTGCGCGAATGGTAGGTAAAATACAATGAAATGCGGAGTTCTATACTGGAGCTGTAATTTCAGAAAATATCATCATTTCCACATCCGACAACTTTAAATACGAATGGATTGGAGCTCCGAGAAACAGAGCGGGGGTCGTCTTGGAAATTAAAGCTGGAAGTTCAAATATCATCAATTCTGTGCATATCGCATTGGCGGAAAATCGGATAATATCGGATAAGATATATAGGCTTACAATTGGCGACTCCGAGAACTCCGTCACGTGGTTGGGAAGAGGAAGGCACGGTACGATACTATTTTTTATAACCTTTAATTCTTATGGTATTATTGAAAAAAACGAAATTGTGGCAGAAATAAATTGAAACTATAATAATTTTGTCTGCTAAACGTGCTTCTGTACATACGTGTTTGGACATATTAAATAGCATTATTTATCATTCCTGGTGTTCCTCATGTATTCCTTGGATTTTCAGTTATCATAATTATTACGTTTAAATAGAAAGAAGCATTAAGTTTTATGAATTCGATGTTGAAGTTTTATTAATTTTCTCTAATGCCTAGCAACCATATGATGTTTCGGTCAACTGCACAACAATAATGAATGATCTAATGGAAATTTACATGCAAAGAGGATAAGGAATCATCAACGTAGGTTCATTTTCAATTTATTCTTGCAACACTTTCTTCGTAAAAGTCCAATATAGGATTTTCGATTCAGTTTTGTCTGAGAATTAATTCAATTACATTTCTGTAATTTGTTGTCTGTTTCTTTGAAGCCTTATCTCTAAAATCTATAAAGAAACTTACATTCTATAGTCAATCGGGTGCTTGAAATGAAAAAAAAATGACCACAAATTCGTCCTCGGGTTCTTTCTTGGGTCCCAAGAGAGTAAAAAAACGGACTAAAAGTAACCTCAACTTTGGAGTAAGACTGTTTCGGAACCCGAAGTACCAGGTGGAGCAACCAAGGGGGGTGCTTTGGGGCTAAAGCACCCCCCAAAATTTTAAAGAGAATAAGTGGCTACACATAGACAAGAAGTGGACAAATGAAATGAATTCAATGTTCCGGTTGTCTTTGCGTCAGGGTTGCCAGCGTTTACTTCATACCCTGGAAAGCGCCCATTCGCAAAATTTGCGGGTTTCTTAATTCGCCCAAAATCGCAAGGTTTTTCAAGTAAGTTCACAATAAAACAACAAAATAAAATGGTATTTATTTTGAATTAAGTTTTGCCCTTCTTCTTTCAGCCCCCCCCCCCCCTCCTCCCCGAAAAAAGGGTAGGTACTAAAACAACTCTTAATTCTAGCACCTCCCAAAGCAAATTTCTGATTGTGCCACTGCTCTCAATAGACTTGTAACAAGAGAAGTACAATTGAACTGAAGAAAGAAATTACCTATTAAGGAAGACATATGGAGCATGAATTCCTAAAGAAACGGCAATAAATAACAGTTCGGTAGGAATGCGAAAAATTAAAGAAGAAACCAGATGAAAATGCAAAGAATAATCGGAGAAAAATAGAATATCGAGTTCCGAAAGGACTGGATAATAACGCAAATAGTGATGAAAGGTGAAAATCCTGGTTGGATTCTAATAAAATTTAGTGTTTAGTGGGGGGAAACAACCTATAATTATTGTGAAAAGGGTTAATTGTAAATAATAGCAAGCAATTAAATTGGATTCAAAAGATTTAATGAAGGTAATAAGCATGCGAGTAATACCAAACAAGAGCGAAATGGGGAATAGCAATGCCAATATACCGATACATGGCTAAGTTAGCACCCCTCAATCGACACCCTAATTTATTACATCGCTACATATTGTGCTCATTCTGAGCTCTTTAGTGACCCCGAACTGACATTTTGATTTTCTCTGAAGCGGAAGGTGCACAACCTCGGGCATTGGCGCACAAATCAGCACAAAGTACACAAAACTATGTCACTGGTTTCAAGTCGCTCCAACTTCAAGGGGTAATAAAATACTTACCAAAAAAAAGTTAAGTTGGCACTGCTTTATAATTTTTGAATTAATCTGAAAGGAAAAGCGTTCAAAACCTGAGTACTGGTACACAAATCAGCACAAAACGAATAAAAAACTATGTATTAGTGTCATGTGGATACAACAATGATGGGGTTCCAGCATTAAGTTGGACCCCCGATGGAAAGATTTGATTTTCTCGTAAACTAGAAGTGCAAAAAATTTTGTGATTGGCACACAATGAGCACAAAATGAGCATCATATTTTAGCGATGTAACAAATTAGGGCGCTTATTTAGGGGTGCTAACTTGATCCACCTAGATTTCCCTGATGTTAGATTGCGATCAAGTAAGTACCTAATCAAGAAAATGGGAAACAGAGACAATATTTAAAAGCAAAGAAAATTTAACATGGATGAAGGGATGCGGTATGTTTGAAAAGGTCCAAGTCGTTAGCAAGGTAGTGCAAACTTACCCTTTGGAATAAGAAATGATTTTGAAGAATGACACACTCTCATCTGTCGAACACAAAAAACCGCAAGAATTAAGATACATACCTATTTCAAAACAATAAGACTAATAAGAGAATGTTGAGGTGAACGGGTGTCATATCTGTTGTTTTTCACTTTTTGGGCGCCTAAGAGGCCTAAGAGGTTAATTTTGGATTGTACGCACCTTATTTAGTATTAAATGTAATTTTCACGTAGATAATGAAAACTTTCACTTTTTCCGTGAAATGCCCCTTACCCTTAGGTATAATGAGAAAATGCAAATATCTGAAATTAACAAAAACTTCTTTAATAAATCGACTGCGTAGAATCCAAAAATTAAATTGTCTGCGTGGCGATTTTGTGACCTTTGGAGCAATGCCATGTAATTAGAATACTTGCATTCTGTATGGTATCTGGTTAAACAAATAAATAAGTAACAAAAATGCCAGATATCAAACATGACTCCAACAAAAAATCCAAAGATATTGATTTTCAATTTTTTTCTTAGACAGAAGAAGAATTATAGCGTGTGCAAAAAAGTCAATATCTCAAAAAATAAAGAAGCTGTCATTCGGAAGGGCCGCGTGCGTTTCTTTTTTTTACTTTTTTGAGCCCTAAGGAAGGGCTACTGACGAATGTGTGATCATTTTTAGATTCCACGTTCCCGATTTGTTATAAAATGTAATTTTCATGATTTTCAAAAAAAATCAGTTTTTCCTTCATATAGGGTGTTCAGCGAGGAGTGGGACAGCGCGATATCTAGAGAACGAATGCAGATTTTAAACTTCTAAAAACTTTGTTATAAATGTAAGCTAGGGCCATATATTTTGTATTGTTTTTTATACTAAATCGAGTGCGTGGAATATAAAATAAAGTCGGTTTTGAGTTGAGGGGCCAGTTTTTTTGTCCTAAGGGTCGAAAAATTACCAATAATCCAACAACATCAAAATTAAATTCGCAAGTCCCTTATTTATTAGCGTATGGTGTTAAAATGTGTTTGAGACTGAGTGAAATCCAATGGCCCCATTGAGAATGATACTCGTTTTATCATAAAAATCAGGATATTTGCAATAACAGATTTGTTCTTCTGGTGGACATACCTACGTATTAGATAAACAAATTTTCTTCGTGGTGTACTACAGCATTTTGCTCAAGGAAAATCCCTATTTTGTGATTTCGAGTGATTGTATAAAAATATAAACAATTTACAGCATTTTCTCTTTGCAACAATTATATTTAAAAATATATCACAATATCCTCGTCTATCTGTATTAATTAGCTATTCTAATTTTTTTTACTCGCATTTAAAATACCACAAATTTGCAGTGTTAACAACCGCAAGTTTCAGCAAATTAAGTAGGTGTTTATCAGTATTATTTTATTATAAACACTGTGATGATGTTCATAATCGATCTTCAGAATGCAACTATATTTACAAAAATTAAGGGGAGAGAACGAATCAACTTAACACGCCTCTATCGTATCCTCCCCGACAAAACGTAAAAATCAAAACAAAACAGTCTGTACAAAAATGGAGACTAGAGAATGTGTTGTGAAGGAAAGGCGAAATCAGTACGTTTGGGGTCTTAAAAATCACTAAATTCTATTTTATTTGCAGAATATGGTGTGCATTTAACAAGTGCCGACACACCTCAAATATTATCAACCGATGATTGGAAAACTTTTTGGCTGTCGTGGGAGAAAGCCACTCTAGCGTTCGGAATCGGACACTTATTACACAACAATACGCTTTTAAAATGGAAAATGGACAGAAAAATAAAAATTCAACAAATCGGTTTTGCTAGCGCATGGGGAAGCACCGCCGAGTTTAGGTAACTATTTCAGCACTACCTACTTAAAAAATTGTTAGCATCTGTTTTTGTTCATAAAGTCGTTACGAGGGAGACAAGCGTGCACCAAAGTTATGAGAAATAGTTTTATCTCGGTCGTTTCTCATGAAGTATTTTTAATATACCTACCACACCTTGCACTGCAGAAAATATTTTTTACCAACCATAACTTTTCCACTTAATTTGCAAAGTTTTGTGTTACAGGCTACAGCATACTCAAGGGTGCATATTTCTCACCCTCATTTTCTTTGTAAAGGCTGTTTAAACGTTTCAAGCATTTGCAAATTATTTCTATATAACTTTGCCGCAAGAAACCTCTCAAAAAATGTAATACAACTGTCACACTAAAACTAAAACTCGCATTTTCATCACCTGGCACGTATTCGTCTTTTATTAATGCTGCCGATTTTTCTGAACTTTTCGAACACATAAATACCTATCGAAAATGAAATATTTCATCTATCGGAAACGCGTACAGAACGAGTGTTTTCTGCACAAACAATCCCAAACAGCATGATAAATTAAATCCTAAGTCAACAACACCTACATTTGATTTGAACATTTACAGAATTTGGAATTTTAACGACGAATCGGGATTTTCTCAAGTACTTCACTTGGATACACCGAAGTCATTAGTTCCAGGATCTGAGTCGGGAGAGCTTTTAGTATCGGGAGGCTTAGCTCTACCTGCAATGTTAAAAAAGCGTGAAGGATGGGGAGGACTTTCCGGAGCTTTGGCGTCGTTAGCCCCAATATTAAAAATAAAGCACTTGGGAATCAAAGCTAACGCAAGCGAGAAAAAGAATTTGTTGGAAAATCTTCCAAAATACGTAAGAAATAGCATTTGCGCTCATTTCTGGAATTATGTTTTCTTGAAATCGGCGTAAAACATTCATTTAGTATCCATGACAGTCAGAAAGTGGAACATTTTATCTGACTATACTTTTCCTGTGCCTCCTGTCGTTACCAGACTTCCAAACATAATATTATTAATACAAATATCTATATGAAAATTAGAAAAAAAACTATTTCGGGAAAAATGTGATTCAAAACTCGTCAGTCAAATGATACTACTTAATCCGGAAATTAAAGTACTCGGCCCCAAATGGTCCCCGTACTTTAATTTCCTCGCCAATAATGTGCCATTTTCCAGACTCATGTAAATAACTATTTCTAGATTCAAACAATTCTTTCGTGCCGTAAACCCGATAACTCCTTTAGTGAGCATCAAATGGTTGGAAGTCATAAGTCTACAGTATCGATATTGAATGCTCTCATGGAAACACAGGCGTACTTCACAGTTGATCCCGATTTAATACAAGGTGCTATGCGATGGATTCAATCGAGACAAGAAGATGACGGCAGCTTTACTCCCTTACCGGCTGACGCGAAACTATCGTTTGCGAACTTAAATAATACAGATGAATCGAATAGCACCAGTGAACTTCTAATGTTGGAACAAGTCGTGATCATTACAGCGGAAACGCTCATCGCATTTCATGATTACTCGTTTGAAAATTCTGAAGAAGTTTACACTTTCAAAAAAGCTGCATCTTACTTAGAACGTGTAGTGACGCGTGTCAAAAGCTCTGAAGCGCTCGCTGCTACAACATTCGCTCTTGTACTATACAAAAGCCAGCAAGCACGTTGGGCCATACAAAAATTACTGAACGTTTCCATAAGCGAAGAGGGTGATTTTGAATGGCCTCACCCCATGCCAAAGCGAGATGCTGCCGACTGGCTTTACGAAGCAGACTCAGATAAAACACTAAAAGAACCTATTGTGGGTGAGTACGTATGCATAAATAGGAGTATTCTTAGTCATATATTTACAGCTACAGTTGAAGATTATAAAGCGGCAATTTACGCTCTTAACATCTTCTGTCACATAGAAGAATATAAACTGGCAGAGTCTGTGGCGCGTTATCTATTTTACCGGTCGCACATGCTAGACAAGCACCCTGAGCTTCTCTATCCGGCCGTTCGAGCCTTTTCTCACTATGACACATTAGTGAATGATCGACACCGATCGCTTACAATTTCTTTAGCAACGTCCGGGATGGAGCTCACTGATACACTTGAGTTAAAATCTGAAAAACCAACACAGCTGTTGCATCTGCCTAGTTTGCCAACGAAAGTGTTTGTTTATGCAACTGGGGCCGGATGTGCAACAATACAGGTGTGCTTTTTAAGCATGTTTTACATCTTAAACTATTACTTGCAGGGGAAAATAAATTATTCCACGTATTCCGTTGCCAGTAGAACTGCACTGGTTGACCTATGGTCGGGTATTGTGCAAGAAATTCTACCTGATCGCAGCTCGGTTGAGGAAATTGAAGGTAAACTACCCATGCTCAAGATCAAACATTGCTTCCGGTATGTTGCGGCAATGGCAAGTTCCCTGGTAACACATTTGTTTACAGATGGAAAGGGCTACTTCCATCGGGGGTGCTTAGATTAGAGGTATCCCTGTTCTCTGGTTTTGAATTAACATCCATCACTCAAATTCTGGTGAACTCTTCTGAGAGCATGGCTGAAATGCAGCACGGATGTTCGGCGAACAACATATGGTTTGCGATTGCAAACGTTTCTACGCACTGTCCAATTTGCGTTCAATATATAGTACGCAGCACTTTTATTATATCGTCCCTTAGGCCGGCATTTGCTCGAATTTATCCAACATCCCGAGAAGATCTGGCTGCTGAAACTTTTTTCCATACAAGCGGTGCAAGTGTCTTAATGAAGGGAATAACGGACGATGATCTCATTACGTGGTTTGGAACAAATACAACTACTGCCAACGATCCAGTAGTCGACGCATATCAAAAATGTGATATTACGTATGAATATACTAGCACCGAAACACCTGAAGCAAGTACAGTTACTAATGTCAACACGAATACGCCAAATCCTCTGTCCAAAATAGATGATCTAAGCATTTCGACGTACACCATCAACGTTGACAATACTTCTATAAGTAATTTAAGTAAAATCTTTGATGAAAGCGAACTAATAATTCCAACTGCCATAGCGATTAACGACAGGACATCGCCACTTTCAAACCAGTCCAAGACCGAATCAACAACACCTCTAACATTGGATAACATTATTATTCAAGATAAAGTAAAAGTTACAATTGGAAACGACGAATCCCTTCAAAACATTAATAACCACCAGTTTCAAAATGAATCCAATGGATTAAATACAAGGAGAAATCCGAAGATAGCATTCATTATAAAAAACACAATACATTCCCTTACCAACCACACGTCCCTGGAAAAAAATAAGTGGACTACTCATACACCCGCAAATACCAGTGTGGTTCCTACCACTACCACAAGTGTTAAAAGCGAAACAAACTTAATAGCCAGTAAAGTTATGTCGCCAATACGGCATATTAATACAGAAAAGCATAACCTCCCGATAACATTGCTTAAGAACAAAATTGACGACGAACATTTGGCGACTTTTGCGCCGGAAATAAAAAACGATCGTTATTTACTCTTGGACAAGGAAGAACTGTGGGGAATGTTAAGAGAAGCTGTTAGTGACGAGATGAACAAAAAAGAACATAACACAAACACTTTCGAACGTCCCAAAATAACATAAATCATGAACAATCAAGTTGAAAAAAGTGTTGTGATTAACTATAAGTCAAATTTGATCTCACATTTAAGCACATACTTAAATTTAACAAATTGTGTAAATAATAGCACAGCCAATTCTAGTCAAAATCCCATGGGTTGAGACCTTGTCAAATTTTATACTGAATGAGTGAGATTTGCTGTTTATAAAACGTGAAATAAACATTTTTAACCTCTCTGCAACTGCCCACTTTCACTTATAATGGTGTACTGAAATGGTTTAATAAAAATGTTATATGTATATATTTGGTTAAAGATATATAAACACGTTCATTTTTATGTAGCTTTGAATTTAGACATGATTTTGGAACCATTAGGGTTTACCGCAATAAATCAACTTGGAATTTTAGTTTAGAAATTAGTTTAGATACTTGTATTTAATTATCAATTGATATTTTGAATTAAGTTGTTTCAAATTTTCTTGTAGGCTAATATAAATTAGTGCAAAACCCTCAATTTGACAGAAATGCGAGTTTTTACACAGGTAGGTATTAATAAAAGAGGTCGTACAATCGTCTTCGGATAACTTTGGATCTATGTTAGCCTACTTGCGTTTGGAATTAAGTAAGAAAATACTAACTTTTAAAATGTACATATTAAATCGATGTAAAATATCCGCCCACTAATGTTAGCATCGTTACGTACCTACTTATGGAATATAATATATAGTTTTAAATTATCTCTTAAGAATATGGATTCCAAACAGAAGTGTGCCAATGAAATAAAATTTTTATTAATCTATTGAAAAACATCGAAATTAAACTTATAATTTAGGCTTAACTCGATATTTATAATCAGCTTGTAAATAAATTAACAAATTGCCAAAGATTGCCACAAACCTTATCACTTTGTCGCCTGTAATCCATTGTTTATATTGTTAAAAATGCACACACAATATTGCTCAATGCAAATAGAAAAGAATTAAATTTTATATCACTAGTTTTTAATTAATGGTGCAGTGTCAAATTAATAAACATATTTTCCTGAATTTAAATAACTAGTAATAGATATTTATAACTTTTTTCCGAATTTGAGGAAACTATAAATGTAAATACAAATAATTTATTTTCTGCTTATTAATGTTTTGCAACGTTAAAAATGCAAATATTGTTCATTGTAGCTGATCACATTTTAACAATAGTTGTAAGATAAAAGATAAGAGTTAAAGCAATATTTTATTATAACTAATGCTTAATAATCATTATAAGTACATATAATACATTTTTCTCTATTTTGAATATGTTGTACTTTAATGTCATATCAATGTTCAAATTATTTAATTAAAAATGTAATATAAGTGATTTTACATAAAACTTGAGTTATTATTTGCAATTGATTGTTTTTGTAATGGGGTTTACATATTAAAGGGGCTGAAGATTCCTTTTTAGTTTTTCCGACTTCCACTCCGGACCTGAATATTTATTCTAATGGAAATGATTAATTAATTCCGGGCTAGACACAACGATATTGATAGATTATACAAACCTCAATCCTCAAGCTAAGTCTTGTACAAATTTCTTTTTCTTAATAGGTATTATCTCGATTTTCTTTAAGCTTAATTTTTTATCAATTTGAATGCAGTAAACAAAAAAAACACTTGCAATAACAAATTTTATTGAATATTTATACGTATACGATTCGAATATAAAATTAAATATAAACATAGAAATTAAAAAAAAAGAACAAATCAGTAAGAGAGTATTAAAAGGAATTTCCTCCATTTCAAGGTACTTAATGTTCATTGAAAACTGCAGTCCTATTAAACCATGTTGTATCATATCAAATGCACTTAACACTATCCTTATCTAAACATCACATTCCCTTCTTAAATAATAGATAACAAGTTTGAACATACATTTGTACTGGAAGAAATGTAAAAGTGAGGAATGAATTTGTAATCTTACAAAACATTTATGACACACATAAAGATGTGCGAACTACAAAACTTACATAAAAAAATAAGAGCAGGTTCTGGTACTACAGCCAACAAATTTTTTGGTCCATAATAATTATTGATGCTGTGTAACTTGTTTGCTTCATCAGTCTTATAATTACAATAGTCTTAAACCTCTTTAAAAATTACAATTAAATATTTGTGTTCTATTCACCTTTAATAGAAAGGTAAAAGAACCTTAATAAGCTAACATGCTAATCAATATCCCTGAAAAATTTCCCATGTACTTATATATTTTGGTCAACAAAATTCATTGCAACAGGTCCTTTTGGTGCCAGTAAAAATTCAAATTGTAACTTTAAATCATCAATACAGGTAAAATGAAACTCCCTAACAACATTAGACAGTAAAGAGACTAACACTTGCTCCACAAACCTTCTACCCGGGCAAATGCGTTTCCCTATACCAAAAGGAATTACCAAATAAGTTGCAGTCGAAACAGTGTTAGCTTTAGACTCTCCAATCCATCGGTCTGGGTTAAATAAATGAGCATCTTGAAAATTGTCATTACCTTGACATGCCAGACCAGCATGGCACAGCACCACTGTTCCTGCCTTGAGATAATATCCAGATAACTCAAGATCTTGCTCAGTCACACGTGCCAAACAGTACGCAGTTGGAATGATGCGAAAAGCCTCATTGATGCATGCTTTTAGATAAGTAGTAGATCCATTATTGAGATCATCCAATAGTTTCCTTTGGCATTCCTCGTGACTTGCAATCAAATGTAACAGAAAAACAACGGAATTACCTAAAGTATAGATACCGGCCGCAATAAAATCTACAATTGCTACAGTTTTCTCACGATTATCAATATTTGCACGTAAGACAGATTGAAAAATCGCGCTTTGTTCAGTCTCCTCATTAGCCGATTCGATTAGTTCTAACGCTAAGGTGTATATAGCTTCTTCACCTCGTACTAAATGATTGTACGCAGGAGTCTGCCAGACTTTCCAAAATGGTAACCCATAGAATGTGTCTCGACAAGCCAAGAAATGCTCATGAACGGCGACAGATAAAGCTTGGGTAGTAGGCGACGTACCGTTAGGTTGAAGGAAACCCATCCGTCGTCCAAGAACTAAGGCGCATGTAACTTCTAGTCCTAACCGTTCCGCAAGTGGTTTTAAATCCTCGATATATTTACCTGTCAAATAGATTAAATTAATTGAATGTGACTTGGAATAACAGAAAAATAAAAAATCTCTGCCTCCAAATTTTACCACATAATATCATTATGTAGGTGTATATACAATGATAATATACAGCTCGTTTATTCCTCGAGGAAGCAAGAGAATTGCGCTGAATCCGAAAATTATAGTCCCCTTGGCCAGAAACTGCCGGAACATATTGTTACAAACAAAAAATGAAGAAACAAGTTGTAAATCAGCATATGCATGATTAAAGCGCATTTTTGGTAATGCAGGTCAGTATTTTATTAGCGAAGTTTAAA